TTTCTGCAAATTTATAAGGTAAAAAAATTTAAAATTTTTCTGTATAATTTAAAGATCTTTTTTTAAAGAATTTATTTGGAATTATAACAGGTTCTCCTTTTGTTAACATATTTATGACAAAATATAAAAAATTAATTTATTTCGAATTACAAACATTACAATATTTAATTATAAATGAGTATTTTGAAGATATATGATATAATATATTCTAATGGTTCAAATAATAGAAAATTCAAATTAATAATATTAACTTTAATTATTATAATAGAAAATTTATAAGAAATTTGAAAGAAATTTGAAAAAAATCTCAAAAAGGTAAATAAACATCTTTCAAACTTTTGTAAAATTATGAAAAAACAAAACAAAAGCTAAAATATTATTATTTTTATAAAAGAATAAAGGTGAAAAGAAGTATCAAGTAATATAATATTATAGAAAATAGAAACTTGCATCATATTTAAGAATTATATAGAAAATAGTTACTTTATATTATTGTGTCATCGTAAGAAAATGTATAGAAAAATAAAAACAAATGTTATAAAATATTTATTATTATTTTTTAATAATAAAATTAATAATAAATTATGTAAAAATTCAGAAGTAATAAAATATTACAAAATAAAATTTTCTACAATATATATTGAATTATAATGAAAATAATTAAATTCAAAATAATCTGAAAATGATAAATCTAAAACAAAATATATTAAAATATTAGCTGTTGAATTTTAAAAGTTTACATTGTTACCATGAATTTTCTTCATTTTAATAATTTTCTTAATATTTTATTATTTCTTATTTGTATTATTTTATTAGTATATTTAATATATTTTAGTATATTTTAATTATTAACTATAATTAGTATTTATTTATTTCATAGTGTAATATGAATTAGATAAATCAATAATGTAAATTATAGTGATCCATTTACTGGTCAATTTACTGATCAAGATTTTGATCAACTTATTAATCAACTTACTGGTCAAATTAAATATTATAAAAAGGATAAGTTTTCTTTCCACTTCAATGTAGATTCAAATAATTTTCAAATAAGATTTGAATAATTCTAAATAGTAAAATTTAGAAAGTAATCTCAACTGTAATTAATTCTATTAAATTAATATTTTTATAATCCTAAAATAATTGGATTATTGATTTTCTTCGTAATAAACTTATATTTCCTATATTAAAATTTTGTTATCTTTTTAATAATTTATATTCTTAGAATATAAATTCTGATTTATAAAATCCTGTTATTATTTTATAAACCATTGATAAATATATTTAATTCTTTACCTTAATTTTTTAAAATTTAATTAATAATCAATATTTAAAACCTGTGATAATAAATTTTTAAGTCTTTTAATTAGTTTTTAGTATTTAACTTAATATTTCTTTTATTCTTATTCTATTATCTTCTTTAATTTGTAAATCAAAGTAATTGTTTACAAGTTACTAGTTGTATATTACCTTTTGAAAAATAAAATTAGTTCAAAAAGTCAACTAGTAACAATGTTATTATTAAAAAATTTAATATTAAACTTTAAAGATTTTTGATAACAAAATAATACATATCAAAATTTAATTGTTAAATTTTGATTTTGAAGGGTTACGATATAATTAATAACCTTCGAAATCTAACATTGTAATATAATTTTGAAGGTTTTTGAATTAATATAATTACTGATATTTATTGTGAAATAAAGTCATATCTATTATATGATTATTCAAAATTAATTAATGTTAAAGTGAAAACCAATAAAGTTAGGGTTTAAGTAAATATTATATGTAAAATTTCCTTCCTGATACTTTTTTTAATATATCAATTCGTATATTTTTCATGTTTTTCATCCTTTTTCTTCTAATGTTATCTTTTTGATATACCATCATTTTTCAATTAATTATTTTATGATCACATGATTTTGTTATCCATAACCACGTGACAATACATATATTAGTTGCATCACGTTACTCAAAAATAAGTCTATCAAAAAGGCAAAGGTATCGTTTTTGATATATTTATGGTTATTTTTTTGATATATTAAATTTCATGTTATTTTTTCGATGCATCTATAAATAAAACAGTTATAAACATATCAAGAAAATGACCATTTTTGTCACACGTATTTGATGTATCAAAAAAAATAACCATAGGTGTCTCAAAAACGATGCTTTAGCATCATTAAGATAACCATAAATCGAATATCCACATGTATATTTAATATTCGAAAGGTATGACATACGGTGATAAATAAACCCCTGTGGTACACGATAAGAGTTAAATTTCCCTTTTAAATACAAAATATCTCCTCCATATTACTTATTCACAGTCTTCACCATATGTACTCTCACTTGGGATATTCTTCACAATTTTCATATAATTATCAACCCACTTATGATCGGGTGTCTTCACAATCTTCATATTACCCCACTTCTCAAAATAATTTCTCTTATGTACCAAGAAGGAGTTACTCCAACTTTAGTAATTATACGGCGCCAAGAAGGATACGACAAGGTATATCATAATAACTGTCATATAGATGTGTATATATATATTATATATTTTTACCTAAAAAAATAATATTTTGATCAACCTTTTTTTTTCCGGAGCATCTGAATTTGCTACACAACAATCTAAACCTTTAAAATCGGGTAAACGTAAATGTCTCTACTGGAGTACATACGCTAGTCGTATTAAACAGGGAAATACTTCTCTGATTTTACCAGTTCAACGTAAAGGAGGAAAGAAGCGCCTTCGAGGTTTAGTTCAAACCGATGATTCCGATGATGTCGGAGATTTTTTTGAAGAAGAAGATAGAGGAACTCCACCTTCCGAAAAACGAATGGGATTAGGTCAAGGTACCGGAAATGGAGAAGTTTTTGTTGCAAAGCGACAAAGATTTAGAACCAAACATATTTATCCGTAAGAGTATTATATTCTTTTTTCAACTTTCGATTATTCTTTATGAAAGTGTAATTGAATAATTATTTTAAATCCTAGTTCTCAAAAAGAATTGGATCGTAATGCAGAACAAGAGGAGACTTTGATTCCAATACGACTTGATATTGATTTGGACACTCATAAGTTACGTGATACTTTTACGTGGAACCTTAATGGTATTTCCCTTTATCATATCGTTGCCTTGGGAAATTTAAATATATATATATATATATATTTAAATATATTTTTTTAATATTTATATTTATTTATTTATTTATTAATTTTCTCTTTATATCTTTTTTTTAGAAAAAATAATTACACCCGAAAATTTTGCAGAAATATTATGTTATGATCTTGATATTCCAGCCAATGAATTTTTAACACCTATTGCGGAGTCAATTCGAAAGCAGGCTCAAGAACATTATAATATATTGGAGAGCAGTTTACCCCCAGAAGATTCTCGAGTCACGATAAATGTAATTAATTTATATTGAAATATTATATTCTATAATAATTATTAATTTAATTTAATTAATTTCTAAATTATTATTTAATCTTTTTTTTTAATCTTTTTTTTATTATTATTTGGTTTCATTTTTATAGCTTGACATTCATGTTGGAAGGTTAAACCTTCGTGATCGATTTGAATGGGATTTAAGCTCAGATTTGACTCCGGAAGAGTTTAGTAAGACTCTCGCTTCCGATCTCGGAATTGGGGGAGAATTTGTTTCGATGATTGCACATAGCATTCATGAACAAATATTGAAATATAGGAAAGAAATGAAACTTGACGATTCAGACAACGAACGAGAACCATTGAAATCTATTTTCCGTTCTTATGAGAGTGCTGAAGAGTGGTGCCCCGTATTGGAAATATTGACTAACGAGGAATTAGAAAAGATTAGGATAGATCAAGAGAGAGACATAAGGTAAATTATTAAAATTATTTTTATTTCTTATTTTTATTTTTTTATTTTTATTTATTTATTTTCTTTGCTAATCACGTTGTAGACGAATGCGAAGAGCCACCACACGTAATAATGTAACACGAATAAAATCAACTAGACCTACAAATTTAAACGGATTGGGAATCGATCATTCAATCAATTCTAAAATGAGAAATGATTCGAAATTATCTCCCGATGAATTAAATATATGGAGATGTTTGCATTGTGGTGTAGATGGACATACTACTCCTTTAGTTAGGAGAGGTCCTGAAGGAGGAAAAGTTTGTATTTTTTTTTTATATGTTATATGTTTTATATATAAATATAAATTTATTAAATTTTTAATTAAAATTTCTTTATTATTAAAGACACTCTGCAATGCTTGTGGTTTGGTGTGGTTAAATAAAGGTGAATTGCCGTCTCATCGAAAGTATTTGTTCCAATGAAATAGTTATAAGTATTATTTAAAAACTGTATAATATTCGTCGATAATGTATAAATATGATAATTTTAAATAGTTTAGATTTTGTAAATAACTATTTAATAATTCTTGTACCAATAATTATAATTAAAGATTTTTATTCTATATTTATTTATTGTACATTAAATCATGCGTATTTTATGTATATTGTTTGATCTGCAAAAATAATTAAAATAAAGTTTAAGAATGCTTCGATCGTTTACCTCGAAAGCATTATCACCATATTTTAAGAAAACCGTGGTAATAATGAATACGGAAAAAAAAACAATTGACATTGTTTATTGAAAATTCTTTACGTTAATTTCAAAATTGTAGATTACAGATTTATTCAACTTCCAATGTTCACACTTATCAACTTATAATTCACATATTGCTGGTTTAACAGACCAACAAAATGAAGTAATTCATTTATTATTTTAACACTCTTTTTTTTACCTGTTATTCGAATAAAATAAAAATTATTATGTGAAAATTTTTATAGTTACGAAAATCCGTTTATGATTTTTGTCAAAAAGAACTTGCTCCTCGAGCAGCAACCATTGATAAAGAAAACAATTTTCCAATGGCAAGTTTAAAAATTCAAAAAATTTAAATTCAAATAATTAAAATTCAAAATAATAATAATTCATCGTTTATTTTAGGATATGTGGAAAAAATTCGGGAAAATGGGACTTTTAGGAGTCACTGTTCCCGAGGAATATGGTGGTTTGAATTTAGGTTATCTCGAACATACTTTAATTATGGAAGAAATATCACGTGCATCAGGGTCCGTAGCGCTTTCTTATGGTGCACATTCAAATCTATGTGTAAATCAAATAGTTCGAAACGGTAATGAAAAACAGAAGTGGAGGTATTTACCAAAGGTATTATATTGCATTTGATATTAAAAAATGATATTTCTCAAAAGGTAACATATTATTATTATTATTATTATTTAGTTATTATCGGGTGAATTTGTTGGGGCACTTGCCATGTCTGAAGCTAGCTCGGGTTCAGATGTTGTATCAATGCGTTTACGTGCAGAAAAGCAAGGAGACAAATATGTTTTGAATGGTAGTAAAATGTGGATTACGAATGGTCCCGATGCTGATGTGTTGGTGGTTTACGCGAAAACAGATCCATCCTCTCGTTCACGAGGAATTACCGCATTTTTGGTTGAAAAGGTTTTTTTTACTACTATAATTATCATCATTATCACATTTATCAACATTACCACATTGTATTTCAATATATATATATATATATATTTGGGGGGTAGGGATTCGTAGGATTTTCTACATCAGATAAACTTGATAAACTTGGTATGCGTGGTTCGAATACGTGCGAACTTGTATTCGATAATTGTGAAGTTCCTGGTAATTTATCGATGTTATCCTTCATTACCATTTGTTATATTTAAGATATAAATATTTTTTATAATTTTTCATTTTTTTTTCAGTTTCAAATATTTTAGGCAAAGAAGGTGATGGAGTATATGTGTTAATGAGTGGTCTAGATTTAGAACGACTTGTACTTTCAGGAGGGCCTTTGGGGTAAATATAGACAATAAAAATTTCAAATTGTTTTTTTAATTTTAATTAATTTTAATTAATTTTAATTATTAAAAAAAAAATCTTCAATTAGATTGATGCAATCTGCTCTTGACATTGTTATTCCATATGTGAACACTCGTCAACAATTTGGCCAACCAATTGCACATTTTCAGTTAATGCAAGGGAAACTTGCAGACATGTATACTAAACTGAATGCATCTAGATCATTTGTATATTCAGTTGCTAAAGCTTGTGATCTTGGCCATGTTTCTAATAAGGTATAAAAATAATATGTTATGAGAGTTCATAAATGTAATCATTTATAAATAAATAAATGTTAAATATTATTATTCGGTAGGATTGTGCCGCAGCTATATTATTTTCTTCCGAACGAGCCGTGGAAGTTGCATTGGAGTCTATTCAATGCTTGGGAGGTAATGGGTACATAAATGAATATGACACTGGTCGGATATTAAGAGATGCAAAATTATATGAAATTGGCGCCGGAACAAATGAAATCCGAAGAATGGTGATTGCAAGGTTTGCATTTTATAATTATATTATATATATTTCTTTTTATTACTATTTTTATTAAGTTGGTATATATGAATATATTTATTAAATCTTATTAGGGAACTTACCAAGGAATTTGGTGGTTGATTATTTTAATTATTATTTAATAAATAAATTTATAATGATTGAATAGATAAATTATAGAAAATTGTATTCAAAAAAAAAAGAAACATTCAAAAATATATATATATAATTTTATGAAATTTTATTATAATAAATCTTGAATTAATACATACATACATTTACAAGGTTTATTATTATTAGACAAGGATTGTACACATCAAGTGAAGTTTTTTTGTTCATTTTACCTACCTTAATATATACATATATATATATATATATATATTATTTTTTTTTTACTAATTTTCTAGCTATAGTATAAAAAATTTAGATTCTAAAACCAAATCCTCCAAAAAATAACAATTATTCATTTTGGATAAGTAGAGAAATGTTATTGTAGAAATTGGTTCTCTCTCCTCTATTTTTTTTTTTTTTTTTTTTTTTTTTTTTTTAAAAAAAAAATGCAGACTAGGACAAACGAATATTAGACAAATGTTATATGCAGACTCGAATATAATGATTCAACCAGTCCGGGAATCAAATCTGCCGATATAAATTGTCGGCGTCACTTCTTTAAATAAACCATGTAATTCTTAATGTAATAATAACCCAAGATGGTTTCCCAAAAAGAAAAAATAATAAAAAATGTACAAGACTGTATATTAAGTAACTGAAATAATTTGAATGGCAGTTATTATGGAAGCAGAAGTTATAGAAGCAGTTTATCGAAATCAATTTAGCAGATAAAGAATTGATGAGTAATTTATCGTTGAGTACTATATTGTTTAAATTGGGACATGATATCTGTTACGTTAGAAGGGGTTTGAAATTGTTGCATATTAGGATTAATATGTTGAGGCTGATGTTGAGTTAAAGGTATCACATTAGGCGTGAGAGAATTGGGAGTTATAGTGTTGGTAGGTTGACCAACTATTGAAGTATTAAAAGTTGAAGGAGGTGGGCCTAAATTAGATGTTATTTGTGAAGGCACTGTTATAAATGGTGGATTAGGAATTCCAGCATTTTGAGGTGATAGTTGTCTAAGTAATTGTTGTACATCAAAATTTGGTTGCTGCTGAGTTAACGAGCCAGGTTGAGAAGTTTGCATATTTCCAGGTGTAATAATAGACATTGGTTGAACATTTGGAGAAGGGTTTGCAGCAGCAGCAGGTTGTTGAAGAGTTCCCAAAAGATTTGCAAGGGCAGCGAAATTGACATTACTTAAAGAGATTGAATTAAGTCCTGTAGGTGCTGGCTGTCCACCAATTGAATGTGTTTGTTGTGTTTGGGGTATATTTGGTTGTCCACCAAACAACAAATTATCTGGTGATCTAAAATCACTAGGTCGTTGTGTTATCCGTGTTCTTAATAAAAGGCCAACAGCTTCTTCGACTTTAATATTGTTATATTCTATATAAATATTAAATAAATATTAATTAAAGCTATAAAGATATTTTAATTTTTTTTTATATTATGCAAAATATACTGACCATCATATTTAACATTGTCTCTCAATCTTGTTTGATCAAAGATTTGCATGTTCACTCGACCATTTAAAGCGAGGTGTCTTTCCATAAAAATAACAGCATGTACTCCTTCTACGATCATTTGACGAATGACAGCCTGAATATGAAGTTTACGAGACAAATGAAGGGTATGTACAGAAATGGATGCATCACGAAAAGCACTTTCAACTTGCCAAATGAAATTTCTAGGTAGTTATAAAAAAAAATAATAATAATGAAAATATCAATATCATGAAATAAATAAATAAATAAATACATAATACATACATAGATATAAATAAAATAATAATAATATTATTATTATTAACTCACCGTTCCGCTTCTTCAAGAACGATAATTTGACATTCCGGAACATCATTTCCTTGTCTACGGGGCAAGGGAAATTCATCATCATGCTCATCATGAGATTGAGAACGATATTGATTATCACGACTTTGTCTTCGTTCAATAAATTCCCTTGAAGGGATTCGATATGGTTTTGAACGATGGGGGTAACGTTCATCATGATGATCTTCACGATAAGAATTACGACGATATTTTCTATCATCTCGAGGAGGAGGTCTATTACCACCTCCAATATTATTATATTCGTTTTCTTCCTTGTTGTTGTTGTTGTTATTATTATTATTACGATAAGAAGAAGGTCTTTGATCCGAATGATCATAACTACCTCTCGAATCATAAGAAGCACGACGATTATTATAATCATTAGGTCGGCGATCATATTCATCATAACGTCGATCTTGATATGATTGACCATGATTAACACCTCCTCCGCCGCCGCCGCCGCCTCCACCGCCACCACTTCTTGATGGAGGATAATCACGATCATTTTGGTGCCAACTATCTTTATATACTTTTTTATTCCAATGTTTTCCTTGTCTATTACCACCCGAAGGTTTAAATCCCCCTTCGTGCGATGATGAATGATGCCATGGTTTACCGTGAGAAACTTCTAATCCTAATTAAGATATATTAAAGATGCATTAAAGATGCATTATTAGAGAATGTATTACATGAGGTAATTAAAAACGTATATTAAAGATATATTAAAAATAGTTAATATGATTTTTAATAATAATACGGATTATTTAATATCAAAAAAAAAAAAATAATAATAAAAAATACATGCCTAATTTTAATCCATGCAACACTCTACCATTTTCTTTTTCAATAGCTCTTATCACACTTGCGGGATTATCATATTGAACGAAACCAAAACTATTCTTGATAGAAATTTGTAAAATTTCTCCGTGAGGTGAGAAAATATCATAAAGTTCTTTCTTCGAAGTAGAATGGGTGGATAAATTTCCTAAAAATAAACGTGAACCAGAAGGCAAAGCTTGAAATTCAGCATCCGATAATTTACGCAAATTTAAGTGACCTTTAGGTTCAGATTTATCATTATTATCAGTATGAGAACTTTGGGAACGGCGACCACGCCATCTACGATTTTCTCTACCATAATTATTATGTTCGGCATTATTATTATTATCATCATCTAAATTATGGGGGGCATCCCATGATGTTTGTTCAATATTAGAAATTTGAGGAATTTGAGGAATTTGAGGAGGAATTTGAGAAATTTGTTGATTATTATTATTATTATTATTATCAACATTTAAAACATTTAATCGATTTCCTTGATCAACATTTAATCGATTTCCTTGATCAACATTTAATTGGGTTCCTTGATCAATATTTTCAAGATTTTCATTTTTTGGAAGAACAAATAGGTTGGTCGTTCTTGCGTGAATTGCATCATACTCTTGGTTATTATTATTATTATTATTATTATCTTGGCCTTGGTTACCTTGAATATTATATTGAATATTATCTCGATCTTGGTTATATTGAATATTGAAAGTTTCATCAGTATCCATAATATTTGAAATATTTGAATTATTATTTGTATTATTTGTATTTGCATTTGCATTATTATTATTATTATTATTATTATTATTATTATTATTTTGAATAACAACATTTTGTACATTTAATCCAGAATACGAAGAATATGATGGTTCAAGAGGGGAAATTTTGGGTAAATCTGTTGTAGTAATAATAGTAGGAGATTGGTCAACAGATTTCTCGAATTTCGAAGAAGAAAAAGAAGATCGGGACACCATGTCATTATTATTATTATTATCATTATTATTGTCAGAAGAGATGGACATATTCATATTATGCATTTCTAATTGATGATTATTTGGAATATTATCATTTTCTTTTTGAAATAAACTCGGTGGAGTTTCAACTACTCCACCACCAAGTACACCATCTGGATTATTATCTTCTTGCATAAACTCATCTTCTATGATTTCTCGTGACTCTTTATTATGATTATTATTCATATTATTATTATTATTATGATTATTATTATGATTATTATTATAATAATAATTATTATTATGATTATTATTATTATTATTATCACCAATGAAATTCTCTTCTTTTTTATCATGGGAAATAGCAGCAGCAGCAGCAGCAGCAGCAGTAGTAGTAGTGGTGGTAGTGGGGGTGGTAGCAGTAGTAATAGTAGAACACTCTTTATCGACCGTTTGTAACATATTTTGATCTTTCATAGTTAAATCACCAAGGTAAATTTGTTTTTCTTCTAGTTTAGGAGATTGAGTATTGAAATCGGTCCAGTTTTCTCTTGATAAATTTTTTAAAGGTGCAGAAGGTTCATTATTTGAAGGCTCATTTATTATTGAAAAAGTAAAATCAGTTAAAGGGGCAGAGTTGGTCCTTTCATGATCTTTATTTATAAAATCCATTGACTCGTTAATAATATTTGGGTTGTTATTAACACTCTGGTCATCTACATTCGACATGCTTCTTGCTTTTTGTCTTTTAATTAATTTAATTAGAAATTAAAAAGGTCAACTTGAAGAAAGCAAAAATTAACAATGATAAAAAATAACCTGATATAAAAAAAAAATAAAAAAATAAAAAAAACGAAAAATGAGATTTCATATCAGTAATTCTATTTCTATCACGCAATTCCCAATTTATTACAAAATTTTTAATGATTTACTTATTTAATGATTTACGTACTTATAATTTAATGATTTACTTACTTTATAATTTAATTTTTTTTTTTTTTTATATTTCACTGATGCCAAAAGTCAAATTCTTTTCATTTTAATTCTGGCCAAATGTAACAACTTTAGAATAAATGGTATTAGTTTTTTTTAGAATAATTTAGAATAATTTGGAAATAATTTGAATGAATAAATTTTATTGGTTAAATATATCTAATTAATTTCTGTACTATCTGTGTGTATCGGATCTACTCCCTATCTTACTTCTTTTTTATCTCTTTTTAATTTTTTTTTTATCCCTCTCTCTCTCTTTTTTTTTTTTTTTAATAAAAAAAAAGAAAAGAAAGAATAATATAGATATGGCTTTTAAATTCAATTGGCCAGATTTTACCACGGAATTTGTTGAACAAGCAAAAAATCTTTTAACGACAGCTCTTAACAAGAGTAATAAACCTGCGAATATCGTAGATCATATAGTTGTCAAAGACTTGAATATGGGAACAAAGGTATCAAAAGAGAATTCATAACCAGTAGATCATATCAAAAAATGATAATATAATTAGGATGGGAATTAAAAATTAAAAATATAATCATATTAAAAAAATAGATATTAAGAATATAATAAATTTAATAATAATAATAATAATAATAATGATCTTTTTTATTTAATTAATTAATAGCCACCAGAGTTGGAAATCATGGAAATTGGAGAATTAGCAGTTGATAAATTTAGAGGAATTTTTAAATTAATTTATACTGGAGATGCACATTTGACTTTACAAACAAAAGTACAGGTAATTGATTTAAATAATTTATTTAATGTTTTAAATATTTATAATTATTTTTAAATAAATAAATAAATAAATTAATTAATTAATTAATTAATAAATATAAAATATATAATATTAAAAAATAGGCGAATCCTATGAATAGTAATAAATCAGATGTAAGCATGTACACCAGAAGAGGAATTCTTGCAGCAGATCAACCTTTAGTAGTTCCAATGTTATTAAGATTAAGTAATTTGAAATTACGAGGAATTATTGTTTTGGTTGTTAGTAAACAAAAAGGGATTACATTAGTTTTTAAAAATGATCCATTAGAGAAAGTTGATGTCACTTCAACTTTTGATAGTATTTCTAGTATACAAAGATTTTTACAAACGGAAATTGAAAAGAGATTAAGAATAATGTTTCAAGAGGATTTACCATCAATTGTTCATCAATTATCATTACAAAAATGGTTTAATTTTTCCAAGAAAAAAGAAGATTCCACATTAAATCAACAATCACAATCAATTTCATCACGATCGATTCCATCACAATCACCATCATCATCACCACCACGACAATCGACTTCATCAAAACATCGACAAACGATCATCCAATCACAACAAGGACCTCAATGTATGTTTTCAGGAAATACACCATATGATACAATGTCAATGCCAGATCTTCGATATCATACACCACTTTTAACACCCAATTCCGAAATTTCAAGTAATTCACCAGAATCATCATCATCATTATCATCATTTTATGCTGAAGATGGATTATCCAATTTAGGAGATCTTGATTCGTTAGATGGATATCCGGGATATTCAACGTATTCAACGTATTCAGCATATTCCAATTTTTGTGATTTATTTGAACGAAAGAAAGAAGAAGGATTAAAAGCAATATCTTCACCAAAGAAAGATCACAAAGATCATCACATGGATGGTAATCGACCACGAATATTTCATCGTCAACAACCTCATAGAAGAGGTTCATTACCTACTTGGTTACCTTCTTCTCAACAAGAACAACATTATTCTCAATTAAGAAATTCTTTAAGACGTTATATGAATAATACTAATTATAATAATAATAATAATAATAATAATAATAGGAGTATTAATAATAATAATGATAGTAGTAATTTTGATAATTTTATTGAATTAACTCGTACTCAAATGACAGCAGCCAATCTTCAACGTCATAATCAATATCAAAATTTTGATCGAACGATGTTAACAGAATTTCAACGAAACACTAATTTAGATTTAATTAATGAAAATGTTATTAATTATAATGATAATAATAATAATAATAATAATAATAATGGTAATGGTGATTTTATTCATGATAAGAAATTCAAAACTAATAATTATTATTATTATAATAATAATAATAATAATTACAATAATAACAATAATTATAACAATAATTATAACAATAATAATTCTAATAACAATAATAATAATAATAATAATAATAATAATAATAATAATAATAATAATAATAATAACAATGAGAATAATAACAAAAATCATAATAATGAAAATGAGAAAGAGAATATGAATGAGGATGAGGATGAGAATGAGAATGGTGATAAATTAAGAACCAATCAACAAATTCAACAACAAGAAATATTTTTACAACCTTCCGAAACATCCGTAGCGGCTCAACTTGCTACATTAATGAATTCCAATCATACCATATCACCTTATACTCGTACATTACAACATTTAACTTTTAGATCTTACCCTCATCCCACCAATAAGACTACGACCAATAAACGTAAATCCCCGGGTAAAGTTACTGTCAAAAGAAATATATTAAAATTTCCTGGTTTGACGATTGGATTTGGACATTGTGGAAATAATAATATGAATCAAAATAATAATATTATTAATCAGAATTATAATCAAATGAATAATATTATTATTAATAAGAATTGTAATAAAAATAATAACAATAACAATAATAACAATAATAACAATAATGATAATAGTAGTAATAATAACAATAATAACAATAACAAGAATAATAACAATAATAACAATAACAAGAATAATAACAAGAATAATGATAAATAATAAATACTAAAGAAATATTATGATTGGTGAAATGTATATTAAGTATATTAATTAATTTGAATTAATTATTAATTATCTATGAAATAATTCATTATTATGATTATTATTATTATAATCATTATTATTATTATTACTATTATATTATAATTATGATATTATTATTATGATTATATACAAATATTTATATTTCTCATTTATTTCATTTTTTTCTTTCTTTAAAAAAAATATATTTTCATGTATATATATTATCAATTTTATTATTATATTATTATCAATTTTATTATATCATCAATTTTATCAATTTTATCAACATTTATTTTTCAATTACATTTTCAATTTTTATATAAATAGAATAGTAAATAAATTTTTTTTTTTTTTTTTTTTATTCTTGTTATTATTCTTGTAATATAAATAATACCTAAAAAAGGGTAGAAAAAAGAATTTACGAAAAGAAGAATTTAGAATTAATGAATAAATTATTTTCCGAAAAAAAAAAAAAAAAACTTAATTTAATCAATTGATATCTCTATTTAGATTATTTAGAGAAATTTAAGAGATTACGAGTAAATTTAGATAAATTTATATAGAGAATGAGTAAAATTTAGATTTTTTAAAAGAATAAATTTACTATATATATATATTTTTTGTTAAATTTTATTTAAAATAATAATATTATTATAATCATTATCATTTAGATATATCGTTGTGCAAAAATCTGTCTAACCCTGTGCACATGGAGATTCATGGATGGATGGATGAATTTTTTTTATCATGTGAAATAAAAGTGTTAAAATATATATATATATCCAAAAAAAAAAAAAAAAAATTTGTTAGGTGATAAACCTTTATAAACCTTTATACTTTGGAAAAGTATAATAATATTAATAATATTAATACATAGTAGAAATAAATAAAAAAAACATTTTTTATTTTTTTTTTAAAAAAAAATTAAAACGTCGTAAAACTCATTATTAAATTCAATATCGGACTATCTTTTGTGGTGTGAATATAAAAAATAAGAGAGAGAAGAATAATGTCTTTTCGGACAAATTCTGGGGGCATGCTTGGGTACCCTACCGAACAAATGGCACACGATGATGGAATACTTTCAGAACAAGATCAAAAATACATTACTGATTTTTTTAACACATTCGCAACTGAAGAACCACTTAGTCATATGATGGATATTACACATCACAATTCTACTGGCATTCCTTTTTCAGGTAAATAATTTAATGCCTTTAATGTTATTCTCTTATTTTATTATTATTATTATTATTATTAGTTATTATTATTAGTTATTATTATTATAATCATTTATAATTGTTAGTTATTTATAATTACTATTATTATCATTATAAATTATTAGTTATTATAATTACTATTATTATCATTACAATTACTATTTTTATCATTATAATTTGTTGCTATTATAATTTTTATAACTTAAAATATTATTCTCTAAACTTTTTTATAATTAATAAAAAATAATTTAAAATTTTAATTTAAAATTTTAATTTAAATAGAAATTCCTCAAACTTCCATGACAACGACAACAACTAGAGGATTTTCTTCAGGGAATTTTGGTTCTAGTTTTGATACAAATGTTGGATATTCTGGAACCAATGGATATATATACCAACCAATTGGTTCGGCTTCTATCACCATACCAGCTAATAATACAAATAATTATCATCACCAACAACGACATCATCAACATCATCAACAACCAACTTCTTCTTCTTCTTCACATATTCATGTTCAACAATATTCTTCATCTTTAAATAATAATAATAATAATAATAATAATAATAATAATAATAATAATGATAATGTATTAAATAATATGGGAAAAGTTAAACCTATCTCTAACAACAACAATAATAGTAATAATAACAACAACAATAACATTAACAATAATAATATTAATAATAATAATAGTAATAATAATAATGCTTCTACATTATATATAAAGACAGAACCAAATAATAATATTAATCGAAGACAAAATTCACCTTCATCACCAAGATCAAAGCAACATACTTTAAGGCGTACTCCATCTCGGCGAAAATCAATTAAAAGTTCCATTAATAACAATAATAATAATAATGATTTAAATGAAAATAATAATAATAATAAGTCTGATGATGGAAATAATTCAATTTCTTCTTCTCCTTCTTCTTCTACTTCAACATTTCATCATCCAATCACATCAGGAATAAATGGTACTTCAACACCGGGATCACCGAAAATAATGTCTACATCATATGAATCAACAAGTAATAATAATAATAATAATAATAATAATAATAATAATAATAATCATAATAATCATAATAATGATGATAATAATAATAATGATATTAATATTAATGATAATAATAATAATAATAATAATCATCATCATAATGATATTCAAGGAGCGACATCATCAACGACACCAAATCGTGGTGGTAGAGGGAAAAAAGGACATCACGAACTTTTAACTGAAGCCGAAAAAAAAGCGAATCACATTGCATCTGAACAGAAAAGACGACAAAATATACGTTTAGGGTTCGATCAATTAGTTGAAATCGTTCCGACCTTAAGTCAATGTCATAGAAGTGAAGCATTGATTCTACAAAAATGTAATATTATATATATAAATTATATAAATTATAAAAAAATGGAATTCTTCTTAATTAAATAATTAATAGTTTTGTTGTTTGATTATTTATTTATTTATTTATTTATTATTCTTATTATTATTATTAAATCTTTTTTTTTTTTTAATTTTAATTTTAATTTATTTATTTTATTTTATTCTTATTTCAGCTGTTGAATATATCCAACAATTATTGATGCAAAAAAATGAATTAAAAGATCGGGTCAAATCTCTACAATCTACACTGGGTGACGCGTGAGTTACTCTATTTGATATATATATGTAATACATATATAGATATAGATATAGATATATATATATATAAGTGATATATAATTCATTTCTCCTTTTTCCTTCTTTTATTTGAAACCAATTTTTGAAATATCTATGGTCTATCTATCTATCTATAGGCCTGATCATGTGGAAGACTCGGTAAGTAAAATTAATGAATTAAAATATTTTTATCAAAATTAATTTAATGATAATAATTATATATACATATATTTATATAATAATAATAACAATAATAATAATAATAATAATATAGTCATCAGACGGAGAACTTGACTTAATCTTTTGATAAAATGATAGAATGATAGAATAATAGAATGAATATAATGGTAAAAGGAAAAAGATATTACGTTATTATATTCTATTATTATTATTATCATCATCATCATCACCATCATTATTATCATTATTATCATTATTATTTTTTTTTTTATTACCTTGAATTAAACAAAATCAACAGCAGGTGTAAATCTATTTTTCTATTTATCGGTCTATCCCTATATATGTATATATAGGTGTGTGTTGTGTTTGTGTGATGTGTATGAATTTACTATGAAATTCACCTTGGTCATATGATTTAGTAATGAACTTGAGTTTATTTATGATCAATTAGCAATTTCCTAGTAAAACTTTCACACACACGTATATATAAATCTTCTTTGTTATTATTATTTTGTATTATAATTTCCTGAAAGTTTATAGTATTTATAGCATTTTTAGTATTTATAGTATTCATAGTATTTATAGTATTTTCGGGTATAGTAATATTCTTTCTTTCTTTCTTTCTTTTTTTCCTTTTCTTTCCTTCCTTCCTTCCCTCCTTCTTTCGAAGTGCATCTCATAACTTTTAAGCTTGATGCTTCTTTCTTTCTTTCGTTTTTTTTATATATATTTTTTATTATCATTATTTTCCTTATGCAAATGTCAAAATTTGAAATTTGACCATTTTATTTTATTATTAGTATTTTTATTTTTATTGGGGTTGAGGATGTGTGAAGAAAACATATTTTAAATGCATAAAACAAATAGGAAATACATATAGGAATATATATAAATATAAAAGAGAAAATAGTAAAATAGTAAAAATAGAGATATTATATTTCAAAATTCATAAAATTTTCTTTCCCCTTTTTTTTCCTTTTTTTTTTCTTTCTTCCTTTCTTTCTTTTTTTTTTCTTTCTTCCTTTCTTTCTTTTTTTTTTCTTTCTTCCTTCCTTTTGTTAATTTAGTCAATAACAACAGATATATATAACACAAATCAAATAATTCTTATTTGTATGTAAAATGATTATATTTGTATGTATGTATGTATGTATAGATTATTATTTTTTTTTATCATTTTTTTTTCAAAATTTATTTTTCAAAATGTAGGATATAAACTTTTTTTCTTAGATACATTTTTTTTTATAATTCATTTATTTTGAAATTTTTTTTTTCATTTATTTTTATAATATCAAAAAAAAAAAAATTTTGATTATAATAATTTTTACAGTATTGCAGTATATTATTATGAATGAATGAATATAATATTATAAAACATTTATCCCAAATTAATCAAAAATTAGTAAAATAGTCAAATTAGTCAAAATGATCAAAATGGGTGGTCAATTGATCTACTTATTTGGATGTAGTTTATCACTTTTCTACCTTCTTATAGAACAATTTAACGAAAGAAAAAAAAACGAAAAAGTAAGGAAAAAACTATGTAACATTATGACGAATTACTCTTACTCAGTATCATATAAATTTATTTTGCACCACAAAAGTTGTAAAATAAATAAATCACGTTTTTATCAAATATCTGATTTGAACTCTAAAAAAAAAAAATAAATGATCATCGAAAATTTTAGAGAATGATGTCTTTTGTTGTTCAAGAAATTTCACCTGAAATACAACATTATATTGATCAAATGTTTTCAAGAATTTCTGGCAATAGTTCATCTTTTTTACAAGGATTTTTACTCGGTCAACTTACGATCGTGGTTTTGGTTATTGCTTTTATTAAGTTTATGTTATTAGAAGAGGCTTCAACCATACAAAAAGTTTGTATATTTTATAGATTCACTTTTTGAAATTGTACTCTTTCCACTTTTCATTATTCCACTCTTTCTTTCAGTTTCTACCTTTTCCCATTATTTCCCATTATTTCCACTATTTCCACCACTATTTCCACTCCCTTTGAAGTCCTCCCACTTAGAATTTTACGTTTTTTTTTTTTTGTTTTTTTTTTTTTTGAAATTTGTTTATTTTGTCCACATTAGGACATAAAATTTATGCTGAATGAAAAAATAAATTAGTGATGTTTTATAGCGTCCTTCTCCTACATCTGCAACCTTACTCAACTCGCAAACAGCTAACGTACCACCTGCGTCTATTATTCTATCAAAAACTTCGTATGATTTGAAATATCGAACACCCGAATCAACTGATTGGTTAAATGTACTTTTAGCACAAGTTATACATCAATATAGGGAAGATGCCAAAACCGATAATCTCTTAGTACGCTTTGTGGATCAAGCGTTGAATGAAAAGGTTAAACCTGATTTTGTAGTAAGTATTTTTTTTAATTAATTAATTAAATTAAATTAAATTAAATTCATTCATTAATTAATTAATTTTTATCTCAAAATTTAATTATTTATTTATAAAAAAAAAAAAATAAAAATATATCTTAAATTTATTTTCTAATAATAAATTTTTTTTTTAAAAAAAAAAAAAGGGACCCATTGAAGTTACCAAACTTGAAATTGGGGAAGAATATCCTATTTTTAGTAATGCTAGAATTCGTCCAACAGAAATAATGGGTAGAATGGTAAGATTTCTAATTATATATATCTCTCTCTTTTTTTTTAAAAAAATAATATTAAATAATAATGTTGTTATTGTTATTATTGGTTCTTTTTTCCTTTTTTTTTCTTTTTTTTTTGTTTTTTTTTTCGTTTTTTTTTCTTAGCGAGGAGAAATAGATTGTGATTTTAATGATCAAATTACAATTGGAATTAATACACAAATTCTCATTAATTGGCCTAAACCACGTATAGCAGTATTACCAATTTCACTTGCATTATCAGTAATAAAATTCTCTGCTACGGTAATAATATAACAGTTTGTATTTTTGATTTATTTCTTGTTGTTTTTTCTTTTTTCATCTTTTTCTTTTTTCATCTTTTTCTTTTTTCATCTTTTTCTTTTTTCATCTTTTTCTTTTTTCATGTTTTTCTTTTTTCATCTTTTTCTTTTTCATCTTTTTATTTTATCATTTTCATTTAATCATTTACATAAAATTCATTTACGTTTTTATAATTTAGATAAATTTAGAAATTGACACAGATTCCGATTCATCTTATATTGTCGTTTCTGTACTTCCAGAATTTACTCTGGAATTTGATATACAATCTTTAATTGGATCAAGGTCGAAACTTGAAGATATACCTAAAGTCACTCAAATAATTACTTCCAAATTACGAAACATTTTTTCCGAAAAATTTGTACATCCAAATTCCATGAAAATCGAATTACCTCCTTTGAACTCTACTATATAAAAATTCAATTTATTATTATTTTTATTATTTGTATTGTGATCAATGTAATGTAAACTTTAGACTTCATTAATTTCAAATAATAATTTTTTATTTTTCAATAATAACCACCCATTTTAATAATAATAATAATAATAATAATATTTTTTTTTCCAATAGTTTCATTAATTTGTTAACAAAAATAAGAAATTATTTTTCCAAATAAAAAAATATGACCTTTCTGTATAATATATATATATTATTTATTTAGTGAATTTAACATTCACAGATTAGGAATTACAATAATAATAATAATAAAATTCAATAATAATAATAATGATAATATTTTTTATTTTCTTTATTACAATTTATTGAATGAAGCAACATCAACACTTTGAACATAATCTTCAAATGCTGTAATCTTTTCTTCTAAATCATCTTTTATAATTAAAAAAAAATATATATATATATAAAATATAATAATTAAATAATAAACAGAAAAATAATTAGTAAATTAAAAAAATATTTTAACTTACCAACTCCAACTTTATCATCTTCAACTACACATGAAATTTGTAATTTTTTAATACCATAGCCAACTGGTACTAATTTAGAAGCCCCCCAAACAAGTCCATCCAATTGAATAGTTTTAACACATTTCTCCATTTCAGCCATATCAGTTGTATCATCCCAAGGTTTAACATCTAATGTCACCATACTTTTAGCAATAACTTTCGGTTTGGCTGCTTTCTTTGCATGATATGCCGCCAAACGTTCTGCTTTCTGTCGTTCGACTTCTTCATCATCTTCTTCATCAGATGATCCGAATAAATCGACATCATCATCATCATCGTCATCTTTTTTTACTTCCCTTGTCGTCTCTTCTACTACTGCTGGTCCATAATGAGATGAGTCATGAGTAGAATCACCAGGAAGACTCGAAAATTCTTCAGAATAAGATGCAATATGATTATACCATCGAGCTGCGTGAGGGTATTTGGAATGATCAGGAACTTTATGATTTAAAGCTTTAAATACGGCAACATCGGCTTGACTTGGTGAATAACTTTTTTTTTTTTTAAAAAAAAAAAAAAATCAAATTAGAATATTTAAATGAAAAAAAAAAAAAAATCTGATTTATTTCAAAAATATTAAATTCTTAAATTTTCAGAAAGAATGGTATTAAAAAAAGGTTTCGTTCATAAACGGTGTCTTAATTCCGTTCAGAAACACGGACCAAATAAAGTACTCATCATAAAAATTGTTATAACAACGCAAGATAAATATAATATAATATTTTTTTTTATCTATCTCTCTCTCTCTCTCTGGAATTTACCTTTCAATATAAGATTTACCCTCCAAATATGAATTGAGAGCTGTAAGACCCGAATCCTTATCTAGTTGAGTGAAACCCTGAATACAAGATTTAATAAGAAAAAATAATTTTAATTTAATTTAAATATATTTATTATTATTATTATCTATAAACCGCTATATTACATCTTCAAAAATTTACCATTTCGTGTTATCGAATATATATATATAAATAATATATATCAAATAATTTTTTTTCTTCCCAAATAAAAAAAAAACTCGATATTGAGATAAAAAAAGATTTTTAATTCAACAATTCAAACAATTCAATCAATTAGTGGCTTATAAGGATTATTATTATTGGTTGAAATAAAAAATTCAAAGATCGAATCAATCAATCACGTACTTCCTAATAAGCTCTGCAACATAAATCTTAAAACAAATTCGAAAAAATTATCAGAAATTGAGATAAATGAAGGAGCTAAATCATTACTGAAAAATTATAGTAAGTAACCCGATGACAATGAGGACGATGGTAATGAGGATGAAGACGATGACGAAGATTCCTCTGATGATGAAGAGACAAATTTTATAAATATTACATTTTTTGATGATGACGATGATGCTGGATATTATTATTATTTAGGTAGTGGAAAAAAAGCTAATAAAAGATCGATTCACTTTGATCAATCATCATTAAACGTTTCCATGATATAATTAGTACTTGTTAATTTTAATAAACGATATATCTGATAAAAAAATAAGTTATTATTGACACATCACATGATCTGTAATTTACACGATACCTCTATAATAGGAACTTAGATAATCTTAAATAAAATTTAATCCAATGATCAGATTTCTTTTATATTATAGTATTTGAATGTATACATTTGGAGGAATCCATTTATGGAAAAAAAAAAATTTCTCAATTTTCTTGGTTTATGTAAGCATCACATGATTCAATTTTAATCAATAAAAATTCAAGAAAATATATTCACGTGTTTATATAAAATTATAAATTTTCATTTTTTTATTTATTTTAACAGATACAAAATATCTAAAATCATTAGAAATCTTTTTTTAAAGTAAAATTATAATAATTAACTATTTTTAGTATATTCTCAAATTTGATAGGTATAATTAAATACAGGAA